TGCTGCTCAAGCAGCGAAGGCATCGGAGACAGGGTTGGAGATCGATTCGGCTGATCTGTATCCGGAGTAAGGGAAAAAATAAAAAAATCTTATAAATATAAAGAAGGATTACTCAAATGCAGAAGAGCGGGTAAGAATTATGCATCTTCACAAGTTGTGATATTTAATAAGGATCTTTACTTTTTCCAAGCATATGATATCATATTTAGATCATAACAAATCTCATCACTTAAATATAAAATGTGAAGCTAGGAGATTACCAGTAATATCAGTCCTAATATTTTAGTTTATACCTTAATAAAGGAGGACTCAACCAAAGTCTATAACTATCTAGGCTCGGAATAGAAAGATCAGATACAGAAGTAGGTAAATACATCTGTGGGAATGTATCCATATGGTGAAGCAGTGGTAGGAGCTGTGAGCATGGAAACAAGGCTCTGACAAATGATAAAGGTTTCTGAAAAATACCTAAAATATGAAAATGAAACAGCAGGTATTAATTTATCAGTGATTCACTACGAGAAAGCTAAAAACTAAGATGTGAAGTTGGGAAAGCATAGGGATATTCTGCTACTTAGATATAAATAAGAGATAAAGAGACAAGAAAGGGCATGACCATAAAATAGGACATAGGAGAAACCAAACATGTGTAGGTATACTAAAAGTGCAAGTGGATCTACAAATGACCACAATGAGCATATGATACAATACATAATGAGAAACAAATGTGATTCAGCTTTGCTCATCGGTTTGACAAGTTAAGTTCCTGCATTTACCGTTGCCCTACTCACTGAAGATGCTGACAAAATAACAACGATAAGTTTTAAAGTAGATCTAATCAACGATTTTTTTAAATTTCGCCCGTAAAACAAAAAGCGTAAACGTGAAAGGAAGGAAAAATGTACAAGGACTTACTAAAGCATAGAGTAGATTCGAATTGCCAACCTGCTTGCATAGGAGCTGAGTCGGTCGAGTAACCAGCCGATCGAGGGAGAGGAGAAAGAATACTTGCTAAAATTTGGAGGCAGAGATGACGAGTTTCGCGACGCAGCCAGCAGGCCGAAGTGCTGGTACCGACAACCAACAAGAGAGGTTGACGTTTGGATTCCTCAATGCAAACTGCCTTGTCAATGCAGGATGCATGCCGAGACTGACAATTACTGGCGTCATTTCCATTACCTTGGCTATTGTTAGAAGAGATTATCTGCGCTGGCGCGACGGATGGAGGCTGGTGTTCCGAATGAAAAGGAGTTCGTTTACCAGAGCCAGAGAGCAAAGCGGACGCTGCGGCGACGGCAGCAGCAGCAAGAGATGACTGATGCTGAGAATGATTATGATCTGGGCTAAATGAGCCACCATGTCCACTATGGAACGCAGAGACTGAATGGCTGGATTTAGCCATGCTACGCGAAACTGAAGATGCCTTTCCGGAGAACGATGAAGAAGATACCTTGGGGGTTGGTTTCGTCCATGAAGATGAAAGATGAGTGAAGGCAGAATCAGGACTGAGAGTGAAGAGCTGGCGACGAAGAAGGCATAAAAGTGCGGGCAGCCAAGCAGATGGTGGAACTGGAGCAACAAGAGCGGGATGGGTTTCCAGGTGGCGTGCTTTGTCTGAAACATGTTAGTTAAAGAGAACTGAAAACTCCTAATCAAAGGGTCTGTATATTTAAAGGAGATAACGAATATAGCAACAAAGAGTAATTGGCTTTCGATGAAGCTCATAAAATAGCATTGTTGGAGGGATTGAATAACAACTGGCTTTCAAAGACTTCCTTAGTGATTTATTGCAACATGACTTTCCGGTTTGAAGGAAAAGTTGAGTGGAAGGAATTCGTGATGTGGTCTCATCAAAAACTGAAGTAGGACAGCCGCGTAGTGAAGACTGTTGGAGTGTGCGATAAATTCTTTGACTCACTGTCATGCAGCCCCAATGAACTTGTGCTAGGCTTTCGTCTGTATCCTAGCGACAGACGTCATCGAATCAAAAATGTATACCTTACGAAATTGCGTAAAAATATACAAAACCAAGAAAAAAGGTGACTAGTTAAAACCCTGCTCACTGCTTTATGAAGCTAACCTTGCGATCTTTATGAGGCATCCCATGATTTGGCTGACTGCCTCAAACTTGATCTACATGCTTGGAAATGAGTAAAGTTAATTCAGGTGGATGTGGTGGCAACTGTTTCCTTGAGCAAATAATTAAACTAGTAAACGATCCTCTACTGTTGACTCTTGTTTATGTATGTGCATGTAATGTTCGTGTTATGAGAGGTGTAATAGTCCTAGCTAGATTCGAGGCTAATCCAGCCCCCTTCTCTTGCTCAGTGACTCTTCCTGCACCCCTTCTATCTCCCTTTCCTTACGTCTATCCAACAGCCATAAGTAGTCCCTACTTAGCTTTCTACACTCATTCATTCTATACAGGACGTTGACTGTTTTGTCCTGTTCTATAAACACCCTAATCTTACGCCTTGACGTGTTTTGGACCAGTCTATTGAGTGTCCTGTATTATTCAAGTGTTTAGCGAGCACAGATTTTTAGACCAATATACCTTTCCAAGTGGTTTTGTGTTCACATAATTTCTTTCTGATGGGTCGGCAGGTCTTCCCCACATAGATATTACCGTATAAGCACAAGAACTCGTAACAGCCTGATCTAGAAAAAGGTTCCGAAAATTCTCGAAAAGAAGACATAAGACATTGTTCTGTTGCATTTCCTCACTAGATCACCCAACTTTTCCGCAAGCTAACACGAAGTTGAAATCAGGAACCGAAGAGAATGCTTTATCTGCCTATTCCGAT